TAGCCCATTATTCTGACTAAAGTGGGTCGGAAGTTATTATAGCCCCAAATAGTTATGCCTTAATAGACACTGTTTGATTACATAGTAAAACAATTTTCAGGAAATAAATACCATTACTTTGCTCTTAAACTTCACATTTTGTTTATTCATAGAAGCGCTTTAGCACCTATAAGTATTTATGAGTTTTTTTTTCTGATTCGATGACACCTTGTATTAAGACTATACGAATAGGCTTTTTTATTTTCTATCTTAGTAGTCTACCAATTTTATTAAAAGCTAAAGTATTTTCCATTTAAAGGTCTACGCTTAGGTCTTGAACTTGAATCTTTTAGTTTTGCCCGGATTTTTAATATACATTAGATAGGAAAATTATTTTTAACTGAATCCAAAGCTGCATTATATTTCCATTTTTTATCTATCTCTACGTAAGTCTTAACAAGCCTCTATTTCTCCTGAGAACAATACAAGGCATTTAAGCTATTTCGTCACGATTAAACTAATTACTTTTGGGACTACTAGCCTTTGATCACTGATTTATCTAAGTGGTACTCCTGACACTGGTGTCCTATGTGGACAAGGACACTACAAAATATTTCGAGTGTAATATATTTGTAAAAACATTGATTAAAATAGCTTTTAACAATTAGGTTGGTTTTATTTTCTCATTGAGTAATTTGTAAATCCTTTGCTGCGTTCAAGACAAGCTTAAGTGTGAATACACCCAGATGCCTTTAATTTAGCTTCGAATAAACAAGGATGTCCATAACAATTCTGGATGGTTACCTCCTGGGCCATCTAAATTGTTGGATGGTAACTCTGACATCTACTAACCTATATATAGTTAGTTTTGACCTCAAGAACTAAGTGAACTAAGGATTTAGAGCCGAGGATGCCCATGCTTAGGCATCTTCCTCCCCATAGACTTTAGACCCATCACTCAGTTATCCTTTTTCTTTGCCTCACTCGCAATGCATCTCATTCTTTGGGGCCCCGCGTCCGACTTAGTTCTGGAATACCGGTGTGAATATCCACCGCTTCTCTTTTCCACTTGGAAATCACGTAAAGCACATCCTTGTCTGTCAATTCTGCTATCGGCCTTTTTCATTCAATAATAAGCTTAGGAGTCTAGTGAATTCCTGTATTTATTTTGATATTGACACTACGTAATCGTCCTTTATACATTATTTCTATTTGCTTTATTGTCAATTGTTCTATTCTAATATCGACTTGTCTTTTCCATAATTATTTACTGGTCACTCTATGCTCTGTCGCTATTCTATATTAATTATTATTTTATTTGAAACATCTGTTTTCGCATTCTTCTCCCTAGATCGCATTGCTCCACTTCGTCGGTTTCATGATTACAAATCGGGTAAGAGTCCATTCCATCATTTTGTTCCTTCACAGCCTTATTCTTATGTAATTCAAAATGCAAGTTTTTGCTCACTACTAATTCTAATATTGCTCAGCATTGCTAGTTAAAATTCACAGAGTTGGCAGAATTTTATCCCTAATAATGTCTTTATATAGGAAAAAACATTTACGCTTAGATGCTTATTTTTAGGCGATGCCTTTTAAATTATCATCTAGAATTCATGTTTTAAACTTTCACTAGACCCTTACAAACACTTTCACTGGAGATTCATAAACTGATCGAATTGGAAATTAAATGAGAATTTCCTGTTTATTTGAGCGAATAGGTCCTCTGCATACCGTCCTGCGACTTCGGCGAATCCTCGTTAAGCTGTCTATTGTTTGACAGGCATCTCCTTGGTGTGAAACCCTCAAAAAAATTTAACAAAATGCTAACCTAAGCATGTCAGTCAAAAGATTTAGAACCCAATAGAAATTAACAAGACATTCTGAATTGAGGTGTAAAAGCTTAGGCAAGAGCTACCTCTGGCTATTGTATAGAAATTAAGCGTAAGAGATAAGATGAGCCACTGAATAAGAAAAACCTCAATTCTCATGGAGTTTGATTAGGACTCTAACATTTCAATTGAATCATAAGTACTGTATTCACCACGTTGTGCAACCATATACTTGAATATTCTTCAATATTGGAAATTAAACCCTATCACAAAAATCAACTTTTTAAACAAATTCACATTGATCTTCATCGATTTCATTCGTCTGCAAGCCTGATGTGGGTAACAATTTATGGTATACTTCATTAAGGCAACAAAATTAAGTTTAAAAATTCAATAAGATTCCAGCCTGCCAACATTCTTGGCTTAGGGCTTAAATTAATTTTAGTTAAATGCTTTGACACGCCAAAGACGCCTGCCATATAACAGACGAAATCTCATTACTGATTCTTTGGGGTCGCATTATGGTGTAACGAAGACTTCTTAGCACACAACAAAGTAATGCCTTGATTTATCATGTATAGCCTGCGAATCCTTTCGGGATAACTTTTCAAACATAATGAACGGTTCAATGAATTAACATACTTAAGGGATTCTTCCAAACCATGTTTTCATTTTTAGTTAAACATGACTTTTGTTAGTATTGGTTCGACCTCATTTTCGCAATTTGGTCGAGATCATCAGAGAGACCTTGTAGGACGTATCTAGTCGTGTGTCCTCTGCCATAGTATTCGTGATTTTCAGTATCGGACCATTGACTTGGTACACTCCCAAACGTTTCGCCGGCATCCTAGTTGACATCGTCAGCACAGAGTTACAACTTATCAAAGTGACAAGTGAGGGCAATCCCCTTGACAAATTATTTGTTCAACTGTTGTGACATCACTCCTTACTCCTATTTTTGTCCTAGTCTTTAGTGCAGAATCTCTTCCTCTCAGCCCCATTGCACATGGCCTATTTATCTATTCACACCATTCTGTGCTCTCATTTCCTACAATGTCTTCTACGAGTGTCACAATGAGGCATATCATCCTCACCTCTGGTCCCAGATGCCGTTTGCAAGGATTCTGACTTTCATTAAGCCCTCCTTCCACCCCGCTTGTCAATTGGTCGCTTTTACACATCAAAATCACTGTCTGGCTGTATAAGACCCTTCAATTCCCGTCCCGAGCTGAAGATGCCCATGCCTACGCATCTTCCTCCCCCTAGACTTCAGACCCATCACTCAGTTATTCTCTTTCTTAGCCCCACTCACATTGCATCTCATTCTTTGGTGCCCGGCGTCCTACTTAGTTCGGGAATACCGGTGTGATGATCTACCGCTTCCATTTTCCACTTCGAAATCACATTAAGCACATCCTTGTCTCTCAAGTCTACAATCCCATCTAATCCTAGCGTACTAGTCAGTTGTTCATGTGTACATTGATTGGTATCCTCCGCCCCTAGGTAAGGCACGCCATCAGTCATCTTTAATTAAGGCACACTTCCGAAAATGCCCACAAGCACATACATACGCACATTATGGTACCTATCTTTGGCACATCTATATCTTTTACCCAGCACATTTAATGGAGCATAATCTGTCTGTTTTTGGCCTTTAAGTTCCTATCCAACCTTCCACAGGTGGATCCACCGCTAAGTTTTCAGGCTGATCCCAGATTTGACTCCTCCCTGAAATCGCCTTTTCTTGATTTCCCTTTGCCCGTCACGATCCACCCCTTGGCGCCATCTCTTCTTGTTTTTGAATAATTGTCCATAATCGGCACAATTGGGTACTTTCCACAAGGTCTTCCAGATGATCTCGACCAAGTTGCGAAAACGAAATCAACTAACATTATTATGCTAAAGGACTGTGACCAAGCAGAATTACACACTTTCTTGGTCTTCATATTTATGATTTATTAATTATTGTATCAAGTTGTAATGAAGCCGCTTTACGTACTTTCTTCACTTATGGAACTTTAAACTCTATTTAAAACTAAATCTTATTTACGGCCTCCTGTTCATCTTTTAATGTTCATTCGATCTTAGGTGGTCGCTACCATCACAACTACGGTAATTATGGTTTCTATGGTAGCAGCACTGGAGGCAGTACCACAAGTGGCGGAACTGGAAGCTACCACCAGCACCACGGACACCATCATCAGCATCACGGGCACCACCACCAGCATCATGGGCATCATCCACAACAATTGCAGCATCCTTCTTCACTCCAGCATAATGTCTCTCCCCATATGGGCCCTCCACATGGCCATCGGCTATTTGGAGTTGGACCATCCGGTATGCACCACCACCATCACCATCCAGGATCGAGTACATACGAGACGACTTCTTCAATGATGAGTTCCGACCTTGAGTCAACCAGTTTCTTTGATTCTGAAGATGAATCTAGTCGGTAAGATCTTCCACTTCCTTTTGGTGATCTGAGCATAGTCTATTGGCTAATTTGGGAAGTTATCAAATAAATTGTTTGTTATATATTCCTGCTTTTATTCGTTATATCAATTATAAACAAGGCTGCAGAGCATTTATACGCACAATTAATATGCAATATTTTTATATAGTTAGACTTTCCTTTATCATCTGGATGTCCTACATTACTCAGGCTCTATATAAATTACGAGCATTGCTAGATGCAAAGTGAAAACCTTCCGAAAATCAAAATTCCTAATTTTAGTAAAAACGCAACACGAACCTTTGAATTTTATAATTTCTCTGTTATCTCTTAAGACTCAGGAAGCCAGCTTAGGGATTTGTTATCTCAGCCTCTAATTTTTAACCAATGCTTTTTTAATACATGAAGCGCATACGCCTTATGTCGTTTTGATAAAATTTATTAATATATCAAAATTTTACTATAACCATTCATTTCGTTAAAATATTTTAAATTTATGTATAACTGGGCTCAGATCTGGCGATGGTTGATTGATAGTAGTATTAGTACCTTACAATTAGTACATCTCATACAATATAATTTGAGGGATTTAAATAATATATTTGATTATGTGGAAAAGAGCTGGGTTTTGAAGAATCCCTTAAAAGATTAATACTGATATACCTATCATTTCGTTTAAAGGGGCTTTATAAAGTGGTCACATCTGAAATCGAGGGCTTCTCTCCAAGGTAATCCTTCCGTTTCCTGTGGAGCCAATATTTGAATCCTTTAGACTTGCCTCTAAATAAAATTGAGAGTATGCCAACATCAATCTATTCTGAAGGTATGAAGACCATGATAGTGTGGCCTTTTCTATGGGCGTGGTTTCCTTTCCTTGTATAGAAGTTGTTTGACCATTGTTTTCGCAACTTGGTCATATTGGCAGGAAGACTACGATCCGATTCTAGAAATTATCATGCATACTACGCACTCCGAACAAGGTGCGTTCCTATAGGTCTTCCTACCAATATGACCAAGTTGCGAAAACACGATCAAACAACTTCTATCAATCTAGAAGTTCATCTGCGTCTGAGTGATTAATTCGAGGCTAAAGCCTCTGAATAATTCTCATGGTCAAGACTTTGCAACATGGACCACGCCTATTGTAAAACAGGCCTACTGTCAACCAAACTAGCTCCAGACTCCGCCGCTTTTATCCTGTTTCTATCCA